TTCTTCATCTCCATCAGTACTGATTGGTTTTTCTTTATGATTTCAATTTCTTTTGTGAAGAAACTCCTTATCTCGTTCAACTGTTTATCTGTGTTTTCTTATATTTAGTTTAGCGTTTTTATGATAGCTATTTTGAATTCTCTGTCATTTAGGTTATGGATTTCTGTGCCTTCAGGGTTGATTTCTGGGTGCTTGTCATTTTCCTTCTGGTCTGGCAATTTAATGTACCTTTGCATTGTGCTTCCTCTATTCGCTTTGTTTTTTCTCATTCTGGAATTATCTGGTTGCTGTTTCCACCTGTCGCCACCATTTGGGGGTTAAGGGCTGTGTAATCTGAGCCCCCTGTGGTCTGCCCTGGCTGCCCCGCGGCCACGGGCCACCCGCCTGTGATCTGCCCCGGTCACTCAGTCTGGTCAGCTGAGCTGCAGTGTCAGGCATGGGGGAGGCAGAGGCTCTCTCTTTTGCCTGCTGGGTCCCTGGGGTGGGGGGCTTCTTGCTTGCCCTTCATTATCCACTCTCCTAGAGTGCTCAAATGTTGATGGCATCCCTGCAGCAGTTCTGAGTCCTCTGTGTGGGAGTTTCTCACTGGCTGAGAGAGCCCGAAGATCTATGGTTTCCCCGCAGAAGGCTGCCCCTCTCCCCTCTTTGGGAGCCACACGGACCCGAATCACCGGTCTGATGGGGAGGGAGAGGATTTCTCCTTACCTCTCCCCACTTTCTCTGGGGGCCCCAGCACATCCACTCTCAGATGTGCGGCAGTGTGGGTCTTTCTGATCTTCCTTTTTGCTGTGCAAGAGTCCCTTGTTGGTCTGTGACTGTCCCTTTTGTTGTATCTTATTGGGAGAAGAGTTTACAAGAAAGCTCACTCTGCCATGATGCTGACGTCACTTCTTAAGTCTCTTTTAATTCATATGTTCTCACCTCCCCCTTTGTTTTTTCCTTGCAGTTTATTTGTTGAAGAAACAGTCATTTGTCCTGTAGAGTTTTCCTCATTCTGGATTTTTCTGATTACAGTCTCATAATCTGGTTTAACATGTATCTTTGTCCCTTTATTTCTTCTAAAGAAGTATTTTTGATCTAAATGCTTGATCTAATTCAGGTTTTATATTTTTGTAGGAATACTTCAAATGTGATGTGTATTTTCATCCAGAGGCACATAATTATCTTTCTTTTTGTGATGTTAGAAAGAATTGATGGTCATTGCCAAAATCTATTATTTCATTAAAAGTTTGCAAAAGAGTGCATTAATTCTTTGAATATCTGCAATAACCCTGTGAAGCAGGCATTATTATTATCCCTATTTTATAGATGAGGAAATTGAGGCACAATAATAAATGTAAGAGTAGTACAATTTTAGGTTCTGAAATAACTAGTTTCAGTTAGCGTTAAGGACAAATAGATCTTTCTATAGTCTCAGTAAAGAATAAGGTGATTAAGATTTTGGACTCTGGAACCAGACTGCCTAGGTTCAAAACCTAGCTCCAGGACTGATGTCTGTGTTGCCTTGGAATCAAGTACTTTACTGCACTTCATTGCATTCCTCTCTCATCCCCTGTAGAGGTAGTTACTATTCTGAATTTGGCATTTATCATTCCAGTGATGTATTTATATCTTTACTACACACACGTATACCATAAATGATATATGGTGTTGTTTTTGTATATGACACCTTGCTAAATAGAAAGAAGCAACTTGCTTCTTTCCCTTAACATTATGTGTGAGATTATTCTATGTTGCTACATGTAGATCAAGTTTAGCCATTTTCGTTGTTACCTAGTTTCCATTGTTTTACTACATAGTAATTCATTAATCTATTCTTTTATTGATGGACATTTGTGCTATTTTCAACTGCTTGCTATTATAAACAATGTCGCAACGAACGTTCTAGCACATATCTCTTTGGGTGATTTTTGCAATAATTTCTTGTGCATACCTAGGAGTGGAAGTGGTGGGTAGAAAGTATGCACCTCTTCATCTCCATTGAGTTATTGCTAACATACTGCACAAAATATTTGTACCAATTTGTACTCTTACTAAGAGTGTGTAGTACTTACTTGAGTTTTTCACATAAATTTGTGAGTGGACTCAGACAAAACTTGCATTTTCTGCACTGAGGCATGTAGAGTGGAATTACTTTGTCACCTAGAAAGAAATGCCACATGTTGAATGGTGCCTAAGATGTAACTTATAAACAGTTTCTACCTGATGAATCAGTGGATAACCCATTCTTTATGGTATACATTTTATGTTCAGCAGAAGGTATAGGTGGCTACAATATCTTGTTACCCCACAAGATTGCTGATTCCCCCAAGCATTGCATATACTTTTTTTCTTTTTCTTTTTCTCTCTGCTGGGCAGTCAAGCAACAAATCCATATTGATACCATTAGGTGTAGAGTCCTGTCTGAGACTCTGCTGTCATTGCAGCTCTCTGCATCATGATTATTATTTATTACATTTCTAAACACCCTGTATAGAGGAGAAAACCTTTATATAATAGGAGAGGTGGACAATAATAGACTAGATATGGGGAGTAAACCTTATGCCATCACCATGTTTCACCATTTAGTTCATGCTCAATTTCCACATTTTTCTACTTTTTACTCAATTTCAATTTAATAATGGCTTCTATCCTCTGATGATCACAGTCCAATGATGATAATTAACATTTGTTCAGTATTTAGAGTGCTAAGCACCATTCTAACTGCTTACATGTATTATCTCAGTTAGTTATCAGAACAACCCTTTGAGATGGATACTATTATTGTCCCCACTTTAGAAAACAGAACTCTTGAGTTGAATCACAAAAAAGTGACTTAAAGGCAAAGGTCACACAGCCAGTAAGCGACAGAGCTTGGACCGAATTGGCCAGACTCCTTCAGGGATGCAAAACTTTTAGGAGCAATTTGTTTCTATGATCTTGTTTGGAATGGAAAGATACTAAAATACCTCTAAGTTTGGAGCATTCTCATTAAAGGAGGAAAGAATGATATGGTTCATTCTGCCTGACAAGTGAGGATTACATAACACATATTCCAGTATTTGGTGGATCTGTTATAAAATGTGAAGTAAACAATTTCAGCCATTGTCATGCTTCATTTACGTATTATTTTTATCTTACAAACTTCCAAAAAGACTCTTAAGCTAACATTGACATATGTATACTATTTCTTACTTAAGCTACCTGTAAGTCTTCATTCTTTATTATTAAAAAAAATTTTTTTTTGTGCGGAAGATCAGCCCTGAGCTAACATCCATGCAATCCTCCTCTTTTTGCTGGGGAAGACTGGCTCTGGGCTAACATCCGTGCCCATCTTCCTCCACTTTATTTGGGATGCCGCCACAGCATGGCTTGACACACGGTGCGTTGGTGCACACCTGGGATCTGAACCCAGGCCGCCAGCAGCGGAGTGCACGTACTTAACCACTACGCCACAAGGCTGGCCCCCAAGTCTTCATTCTTTAAATTCTTCATAATATTAAATTATTTTTCTGTTTTATTTAGAGGAGGTTGTTATAAATTGTCATTGTGCCCCCAGGAAGCTTTAGTTTAAGCTAACTTTATAACTTTGCTTCATAGGACAACTTGTCAGTGCTATATGTAAACAAGTGGCCATGTTTCCCGGATTTTATCAGTTCTGATTTCAAATATCCTGTCCCATTATTAGACTGTGATAGATTGTGTGTCTCAGTTTGCTTTGGAAAAGATGGTCTCCCTGTATAAATAGAGATCAATTATAGCATGCAAAGCCAGGACTATATCAGGAATTATCCCTGAAATAACCTGACATTTCCATTTAATTGGAATCAGAAAATAAAATACCTGGTTTGAAGTTGGTCACGCCTGGCCCAACACTTTCTACAATTCCTGCAGCCTCATGGCCAAGGATCACTGGTAAAAAAGTCTCCTCAGATTTTGGGTCAATAGGATGGGTGTCAGTATGGCACACAGAAATGGCGATTATCTACAAAGCAACCACAGACTTGAGTTGTATTTCTATAGTTATATCATTGGGGTTGTTAGGTGGACAATTTTAGGTCCAATGTCAACTTGAAACTTTACGACACTCAGAGCTCAATAAAAGAGTTATAGTTTGGAAAAAAACCCCAAAATATTTTAGGATATATTCTTTTCCTCTTATAATGCACCTTTGTTTTCTACCTTTCACTGTCATTGGAAAAGCACAAAAATAGAATTGGCAGTTACTGTGTCCAGGAGAAGAGAAATCCAAGATAATAGGGAAAAGTTAAAGTCTATTAGGCAGAGGGAATGGGGGGAACATAGGTCTCTAGGGCTTGTTCAAATTCTGTTGAAACTACATGAAATGAAATAGACATCATAGAACTTGCATAGTTAAAAGAGAGATATCAAATAAAAGATTATCTAAACTAATTATCAATGTATCACTGTATTATTATTCTTCAGGATTCTATTCATCAGGGTATCCCATTCATTCCCATGTGTAAACCCTTACTGTGGTGGTCCTGAGGAAAATATAAACCTGGCCAGCTGTGCAGCAAATGGAGAGATTGTCCCAATTTGCCATCTGTGATCCCTCTCTACTCAGTTTGGTCTCTTCTCCCTGCTGACCCACTCCTGTCCCGTCCTCAGGGGGACCCAAGACCCTTATGCTGCCCAGGGCAGCACTTCAGTTTTTCCTCTCCCTTGTTTTAAACCAAATTCTCTATCTTCCTTTTAATAACACTTTCCAATAACTGGCAATTGGAAAAGAAAAAGAAAACCTAACTAATTCTAATCTAAAGTGAATTCCTTTGTCTGATTCTTAGGGTTAATGATAAATGTTAAGACAGTTCAATTAAATTTTAAGCCCATTATCAATAACAACTGATAAATTAATATTTTACCTCTTCTGGAGTAATACCTGTTTTTATCTGAACCTAAAAATGTAATTCCCCCATAGTGGAAACTCCAGGGATCTCAGTCACACCACACAGGCCTGACCTGACAGAAGCCAAGTCTGCACTTAGGGTCTTGTTCCCACATGGGGCAAGTTCCCACTTACTTGAATTCGAATTTCATGAGCCTTGGGGGGAGCGACTTCAACCTCTTCAATGCAAAGGGGCTTGCCTGCTTCCCAGGCTATGGCTGCTTTGCATTTAATGACCTGAGAAAGAGGGAAAGAGGGAGAGAGAGCGAGAAGGGAGAGGGAGAGCAGGGGAAGGAGAGGGAGCAGGGGAAGGAGAGGGAGAATGGGAAGGAGGGAGAGAGAGGGAAAGAGAGACAAAGAGAGGATATCATGGGAAAAAGTTAAAGAGCATGTTGACACCATAATTTCATGAAAAGGAGTTATGGAGTTTGTGACTGGATGTTACCTATAATTATATTATTTTAAAGACAGGGGATCTTAATTGAAAATAAGTCATATTCTACATTATAGTCATTGCACTCTTAATTTTTTAAAAGAACAGGTGTAGTAAAGTTTATCTTAATATAATGCCTTAATTTTCTTCCTCCATAACAGAGAGGATAAATTTATAGGGTTTGGATAGGATAGATGGCCAATAAGTATTTGTTGACTGAACAATTTGTTATCAGCTCTGAATTACCTGAGTCCTTGTTGCTAGAGCATAGGTGTGTTTTATATCTTTGCTACTCAAAGTGGTCCTCCCTTGGACCAGCAGTTATTGATGTCACCAGGGAACTTGTTAGAGCTACAAGCCCTGTGCCAAATCCACTAATTCAAAATCTGCATTTGAACAAGATCCCCAGGTGATTCATATGCACATAAAAATTTGAGAAGAGAGGCTTACATAATTATTAAATTTATCAGTAGAATATAAATTAAATAAAAATTTGATCTCTTTGCAAGAATTTGGGTAAAAATGTATGAAAAGAAATTAAATGTTACGATTCTCTAATCCCCAGATTAAAATTTTCTTTAGCCTCTTAAAATTA